AACCCCTAATAACCCCACCAACACCCCCATAGCGGCCCCCAATACCCCATACAACCCCCCAACACCCTCATTACCCCCCCCAATACCACCTATACCACCCCTATAACCCCCCTAGGCCTCTTCTTTTCTCTTTCTAAGTTACAGAAAGATTCAAAACAATTGTCATTTCAAACTGAAACATTCAAAACAATTGTCATTTTCCACCCAAAGAGCCACAGCTTGCTTCTACCTGCCCAACGTCACTATATCCCAAAACAGTCAGCACTGAATCCATGGTCAAAAGGTTTTCCCCATCTTTTTCGTCAACATCCAGGAGCGTGAGGTCACCCTGTTCACCCCAGCCTTATGGCTGAGTGGCGCAGACATGTAACCCTTCACAAACAGACCGTCACTACCGTCTTCACCCGAATAGAACACCCGGTCATTACGAATGCATCTAGATAATGACCAGGCATTCTATTCAGGTGAAGATGGTAGTCCTGATGGAATCCAAGTCACCCGACAGATACAACAACACTGAGCGCTTGCCACATACCCCTGCCGAAAAAAAGAAGGGGAGAAGATCGAGCTGTTAGTTCGTACAAACTCACCTTCCGCCAAGCCACAGGCTTCTCGTCCTCTTGCTCCCGTATGCCGTTACAGACACACTGACAGAAATCCTGCAAAGGTTTATCCCCAGAGCGCTCAGCGTCCTTCATTATCTTCTCCACAAGAGATTCCAAAGGTGTTTGATCAGGCGCCTTTCCTGTGCCAGTGAAATCTCTCATCTCCTGGTTCAGAACTCTCAAAAGCCGCTGGGGAACAAACACAGTCATTCATAGAGACACGATGAGTTACCACACAACAACTAACCACCAGATTGCACAAAATATATCCATCTTACCAACTGGCCTAGCTCAGTTGATACATCCCATCAACTGTTGAAAAACAGACCTGAGTTCGAATCCTGGTAGCTGGTGGAATCAAATGAATGAAATAAACTCGGCTGCCAGCCAGGCCGCCCGGGTCACCTTGTTTGCCCGGATTTGTCATTAGTCTTGCTGGTGTACATCTTCTTCTTCTTGTTCCTTCTCTCTTCTTTGGTCTCTATCTCTTTGCAAGTGCTTTCCTTTCCTTCGCAATTGGGTGGCATTGTCTTTCCTTGTGAATTTGCACTTTGGAAGTGACCAGGATCGTAACATATATATATTGGACCGTTGCAGGGGGCCGACGACCCCTCGACTGGTCGGCTGATCGGGAGTCGACCGACCAAGAACCACCGACCGTCAGTGCCCCAACTCTGGAACAAACACTAAAGAAGTCTTTGACACTCTTTGTTGTAGTCTCTTTGCTCTAATCTGAAATTCTGAATTCTTCTCAACCCTATCCCCGCACCCTCCCACCAAGGCTCCCCCACCGCCCCCCCCTCTGCAAGAAAAAACAGCAGCAAGAGCCAAGATTCGGGCTTCTTTCAGTGGGATCAGAATGCCCCACAAGTGAAAAACTAATAGCGGTTACTTCCCGGATGGCCGAATCACCATCCGGACGGCCAAAACACAAAAAAGAAAAATCTGGAAAAAAGATAGGTTATGTAGCATTGGCATACAAAAACCTTCTGGCTGATGGTCATCGCACAATTCATCTCCAACTCCAAGGACAACAATCAAAATCTAAGATGGGTCGTCGCCTGGCCAGGCATGGCCAGCTCGGCCAGGGGAGATCGCCCCGCAAAACCAGGCGTGCCAAAAAAGAGGGAAGGATCTCCAAAAAAAAGAAAATGACGTCAGGCCAGGACTGCACTCGGCCTGAGCAGTCACAATCCTGCCTTACCTTCCATTTCCGTGGTGGGCCACCCTGGAGTGTTTAGGGGTTATAAAGTTACTCTCAACAGAGACTAGAGGGGCTTAAAAGGGTATATAGTATCTACTATATACTAGGCTACCAGAGTGGCCCGGGGTCACTTGCCCGGCCGGGCCAAAAACATTAAAAAATATAAAAATAATAACATATATATATTTTTATTTTATTTTTTATTCTGAATTTGGTGAAGAATTTCTATGTGACCCTGAGGCAAAAGTTGTTCCGTTTATTTTGCTGCATAACATAGTTTTTTTTTGATGTTTTTGGATTTTTTTAATTTTTGTTGTTTTTGCTGGGACCTTCCGTGGTCCTTGCACGGGCTGGCCACCCGGGACCCGGGCGGCCCGGCTGGTAACCTAGGGTATATACCATACTTGCGGCGCACTGGTGCGGTGCGCGATGCGGTGCGGTGCGCCCTAAGGAATGCGCGCGGTGACACTGCGCGCGCACGAGGTGCGCCGTGCGCGCAGCGCATGGGGACGCGCTACCCCTGCAAGGGTGCGCACTGTGCGCCATGCCGTTTTTCAGCGTGTGTGTGTGTGTGTGCGTGTGTGTGTGTGTGTGTGTGTGTGTGTGTGAGAGAGAGAGAGAGAGAGAGAGAGAGAGAGAATGAAGAAACCGTGTGCTGACACTATCGGACCGAAGAAACCGCCCTTATCAATGGCCAACATAAATCCGGAAGCGGGGGCCAGGTCCCACTAGCAGCGTTGAGTTTCCTCAACGCCTGAATCTGGACGTGTTCGTCGAGATGTGCGGTTGAGAAAACTCAATGCAATTTCTGCACATATCCACAGACACGTCCAGATCCAGGCGTTGAGGGAACTCAACGCTGCTAGTGGGACCTGGCCCCGGGGCGACATGCACAAAGGACAAAAAATATGGCGGGTGTATCTTTCCATGTTCTGGCAGAAGATTCATTCCCATTTGCTCATACGTTCGGTGGTGGAGAGCGTAGGGCCGTTGAATCAGGTAAGCGCGTAACGTATCTCTGGAACCTTTCTTTTTTTTGGGGGGGGAATCTCTGAGCCGTGTGCTGACACTATCGGACCGAAGAAACCGCCCTTGTCAACGGCCAACATGAATCCGGAACCGGGGCGACATGCACAAAGGACAAAAAAAATGGGTGTATCTTTCCATGTTCTGGCGGAAGATTCATTCCCATTTTGCTCATACGTTGAGCGTAGGGCTGTTGAATCAGGTAAGCACGTAACGTATCACTGGAACCTTTCTTTTTTTTTTTTTGGAGAATCTCTAAACAAATGAGATTGAATCCTCCGCTTGAACATCGAAAGATACATTGCCATAAGACGAGAGTTTCCGATTGAATCCTCCGCTTGTGTCTTGTGTGCATGTCAAGAGTAGTGCAGCGAGCCCGTTGGTGAACACTACCGTTGAGGTTCTGACACGTTGGACGCGCCGGGCTTCGCTCGTGCAGAGAAATTCTGATTTTCTTCCTTACGTTTTTTTTTTTATTAAAAAAAAGAAAAAACTCCACGAAAAACGGCTGTCAGTTCCGTCGTTTTCTACTTCAGAAGTAATAAGAAGAGAACGTTTTGAGACATCGCGACCCTCATCATGACTGAATCTGGCATGCAAGAACCTACCCTACGGACTGCAAGAACCCTACCGTCCACACAGTGTTACGCGGACTACAGGTTACTACAAGCTTTCAGGCCAACGCGCGGCCTCCAAAAAAATTTGGCTGCCCATTTCTTATTTTATGCGAGCAGGGGGCCGGGTCAACTACCGCCCCTCACAATTTTTATTTTTTTTTCGACCCCCGTTTTTGGAGGTGCGCTGCATGCAGTGCGCTCGCGTCGTGCGGGATGCGCGGTGCGGCGCACATGCGCAGTACAGCGCATCGCGATGCGCCGCATGTATGGTATATACTATATCTTACCTCATTTCCCCTCGTTTATTTTTATCTTAAAATTAATAAGGAATTTCGAGTGGACTCTCAGCCAAAAGTTGCTTGTACTGCAATTTTATACAACATTTTTTTTCCAGATTTTCAAATCATTTTTTTGAATTTTTTGAATTTTCTATTTTTTTTAATATTATGCGCTGGGGCTGCCCGGGACTCTGCCCGGCCGGGAGGGTACCCAGGCGATCTTCCCCCAGCCGGGCTGCCTGGGGACCAGCCTCGATCAAAATTTCAAAAAGGATTTTTTTCCCCTTTTCTTTTTTTTTTGGGGGGGGTGGCGGGGAGGGGGGAAGGGGCCACCCCTTGTCCCGAATCAATCCGGATGTTCGAACGAGTATGGACTGAGTCTGTCCATGTTGGGGTCCAGGTCGAGTTTATCCATGATGATAACGGTGCAACTTTTTTCATGCCCAGGTTGACCCAGGCAGGAAACGTGCAGGGGGCCCCGATCATCCAGCGAAAATATATAGCATTTTCAATTTAGTCGAGACTTCTCAGGGAGTCTGGATTTCAGATCCTGGACGACGGATTGTCTGGACTCTGGATCCTAGTCCAGATCATTTTTTTTTTTTTAAATATATATATTATATACCCTATTGTAGCTGGAATTACCACGGCTTCCCGCACCAGACTTGCGCTCCGATGGATCCTTGTTTAAGGAGTTCACGACTGTTCTCATTCCAATTACCGGACTCGAAAGAGCCCAGTATTGTTAGTTACTGTCACTACCTCCCTATGTCAGGATTGGGTAAGGAGATGTTCAGATGGTAGGATGTGAAAAATACATTGCTCCAAAACTACAGTAACATAAAGTTTCCCCCCTAAGAAAACAACAGCATCCATGTTGTCACGTGGTTGATGCCGAGCCTAAACTTGACCTGCGCACCAAAGAAAAACGAAGCAATGCAGGCCCGCTTTTGGCTTAACCCCCACAATGTGAAGCACGTTAATGTGCAAGGCCTGCATCCAATGTAAGGGCCAAGTACTGGTGGTTTAAACACATGAACCATCAGTCAAAGAGAAATGCCTTTCATATACTGTTTCCTATTCCTAGCGTTCTAAGCAGCCATGCTCCCCACCACCACAGGCGCTCTCCGCTGACTCCTTACCCTATTCACCCCAAGCTTTCTCCGCGACCCTCTTTCCCCCAACAAATTGCACCCTCATTATGAGGGTATGAAACCGGAAGGACAGCTTATACATGTTCACGATCAAGGGGCATTCTCTGTTCGGGGGAATATGTTAGCCATATTTGTCACAAACCACTTTCTCTACTCGCCAAACTCACCTCCTCTATGAACTCGCAATGGGTTTCCTCAGCGTGGAAGTCCTTTATGTGATTGGGCATGATGTCCAGCAATAGATTGTATGTTGCGCTGTCAATACCATAAACCTCCTGGACACAACCAATACCTCTCAGTTAGAAACCACCTGTGATCAACGCAACTTCACAGCGACCTTTAGAACACATGGACGGCAGGATGCACAAACACATGAAAGGATGCCAAAGCACGAGATAAGGGTGCTTCCGAGGCCAGCGTGCTGCCTACTCTTCCCACATCAATTCCCAGAAGCACAAACATCGTTAGACTTTGACATAACATGGAATAATCATCAAGAGAACCACAAACTTCCTTGAAGTGGCGATTATTGAAGATCTTAGTTCTGCACTGCCTTCTGTCATTCTTCAGATAACTATCATCGCTGACGTTATGCGAATAGAACACAATTCCAATGCCTTAAAACAAATGGATATGCATGTGGCTTTGCCACCAACGTGCTGTGTGTGCAGGAGCACATTCTCTGCTGCCATCTGTCTGGTCATACGGTAGGCAATTCTAGGAAAATAACTAGCGTGACACGAGCACCCTGGATAGAAGCACAGATGAACATCCAGCCACAGCATTCTTGTGCATTTTTGAAGCTGTCAAAGTGTGGGTTAAGGAGCACTCGTAATCTCTCAAAGTTCAAAACAATAATGAGGAGGAGGAGGAAAAACAGAAGGGGGGAGAGGGGAGGTCGTGCAGTGAATTGTTCAATATGGCGTGGATCAATGGTTGTGGTGGTAAGGGACTCTCTGAAACAGCAGCAACAACAAAAGAAGAGGAGAAAAGGTGGCAATGGCTTCCTCAATCTCCAACCTAGCAGGTTTGCACAAAAACAAAAGGGCTTACTTGTACACACAAGACCTGGAGGAGACGAGAAGAATTGATAAGATTGATGCTTTTCTGTCTGTCTGCTTATCTGTACGTACGATGCTGCGCTGCGCCC